AATATCTCCTGCCTGGGAGATTTTTTTTTCATAGTTCTTGCTGTAAGGTAAACCAGCATAGTCAAAAACATGCATAGGGGCTTCCCTGGTGGCACAGTGGATAAGAATCCGCCTGCCAATGCAGGGGACACGGGTTTGATACCTAGTCCAGGAACACCCCACATGCCGCGGAGCAACTAAGCCCATGTGCCACAACTACTGAGCCTGTGCTCTAGAGCCCGTAAGCCATAACTACTGAAGCCCACGCACCTACAGCCCATGCTCCACAACAAGAGAAGCCACTGCAATGAGAAGCCCATGCACCGCAACGAAGAGAAGCCCCCACTCGCCGCAACTAGAGAAAGGCTGCGTGCAGCAACGAAGACCCAACACAGCCAAAAAATAAAGAAATTTTTTAAAAAGGCTGCATACTGTACAATCCCAACAACATGACATTCTGAAAAAGGCAAAACTATGGAGACAATAAAAAGATAAGTAGTTGTCAGGGGTTGGGAAGAGGTGGGGATGAATAGGTGGAGCACAGAGGATTTTTAGGGCAGTGAAACTATTCTGCATGATACTATAATGGTGGATACATGTCATTATACATTTATCCAAACGCATAGGATGCATGACTCTTAAGAGAACCCTAATGTGTTGGAGAAAAGGGAACCCTCCTACACTGTTGGTGGGAATGTAAGTTAGTGCAGCCACGATAGAAAACAGTATGGTGGTTTCTCAAAAAACTAAAAATAGAGTTGCCATGTGATACAGCAATCCCATTCCAGAGAAAACTATAATTCAAAAAGATACATGCACCCCTGTGTTTATAGAAAAACTGTTTATAATAGCCAAGACATGGAAACAACCTAAATGTCCAATGACAGATGAATGAATAAAGAAGATGTGGTATTTAACACAGATGTAGAGAACAAACATATGGACACCAAGTGCAGACAGTGGTGGGAGGAGGTGGTGTTGGGGGGATGAATTGGGAGATTGGGATTGACATATATACACTAATATGTATAAAACACTAATAAGAACCTGCTGTATAAAAAATAAATAAATAAATAAAAGATGTGGTATTTACACACAGTGGAATATTACTCAGCCGTTAAAAAAGAAATAATGCCTTTTGCAGCTACATGGATGGACCTAGAGATTATCACAGTAAGTAAAGTTAGAAAGAGAAAGACAAATACCATATGATATCACTTATATGTGATATCTAAAATATGACACAAATGAACTTATCTATGAAACAGAAACACTCATAGACATAGAGAACAGACTTGCGGTTGCCAGGGGGGTGTGCAGCGGAGGGATGGATTGGGAGTTTGGGACTAGCAGATGCAAACTATTATATATAGAATGCATAAACGACAAGGTCCTACTGTATAGTACAGGGAACTATATTCAATATCCTGTGATAAGCCATAATGGAAAAGAATACACACACACACACACACACATATACATACATATCTGAATTACCTTGCTGTACACCAGAAACTAACACATTGTAAATCAACTATACTTCAATTTAAAAAAAAAGAGTTAACCCTAACTTGAACTATGAATTTTCAGTTCATAGTGTGTAGGTTCATGGACTGTAACAAATGTATCACCCTGGTGCAGGACACTGATAATGGGGGGATTGTACATATGTGGGAACTCCATGTACTTTCCATTCAATCTTGCTGTGAACCTAAAACTGTTCTTTTTTTTTTTTTTTTTTTAATTTTTGCCTGCAGTTGGATCTCAGTTGCTGTGTGCGGGCTTTCTCTAGTTGTGGCGAGCAGGGGCTACTCTTTGTGTGGTGCACAGGCTTCTCGTTGCGGTAGCTTTTCTTGTTGCGGAGCATGGGCTCTAGGCGCACGGGCTTCAGTAGTCATGGTGCGTGGGCTCAGTAGTTGTGGCTCGCGGGCTCTAGAGCACAGGCTCAGTAGTTGTGGTGCACGGGCTTAGTTGCTCTGCAGCATGTGGGATCTTCCCAGACCAGGGCTCGAACCCGTGTCCCCTGCATTGGCAGGTGGATTCTTAACCACTGCGCCACCAGGGAAGTCCCCTAAAACTATTCTTAAAAAGTCTATTTTAGTAAAAGGAGGGAAACACTTTTCCTTGTTTATAATCATCTATCTCTGGAAGGAAAACAAAAAACGGATAATATTTTTTATCTGGGGTGGCTGCCAAGAAGGCTTTTCACTGTTTAACTTTTGTGCTTTTAGAATTTTAAACCATAAGCTTCTATTGCCTAGTCAAAAAAAATAATGAAATTTTTAAAATAAAATTAAAGATCATACCTTCTGAAAATCCTAAGGCAATAATTTTAAATGATGAAAAAGCTTTATATACAAACATGTTTCACTGCTGAGTTAATAATTTTACTAGCTAACATGAGCACATACCATGTGTCAGGTATTGCATTAAGTGGACTACCTGATTTATAAGAAAAAATTGGCATTAATTTAAACAACAAACAGAAGGGAAACAGTAAATTATGAGCAGGTCAATAAGCAACCATTAAAACGAGGTTTATAGAAAGTCTGTAATAGTATGGCTAAATCCTTATGTTAAATCAAATAGCAAGATGTAACATAATAATAATAGTTACTTTTTTTTTTGGCCACACAGCTTGTGGGATCCTAGTTCCCTGAACAGGGATTGAACCAGGGCCCACTGCAGTGGAAGTAAGTACTTTAGTATATGTACTTGGTGAAAGTATGTAATTTTAATTTTTTCCACTCTTATTTTATAAATGTATTTCAATGAGCACACATTAAGTTGAAAAAAATACCTCCCTCCCAGCGTTTTTCAAAATTTGGGCATCTCACACAATGGAAAGGTTCAGTGATGGAAAATTACCTGTGAGTCTGGTACTATAAAAACCAGGATCTAGACTGAGATTCAACTCTGACATTAGCTGTTTGACTTTGGGAAGTCAAGTTTCTCTTTCTTTATCCCTGACTCTGGAAATGCGGAAAATATCTCCTACTTTTCCTACAACGGTACCTTTTAGTGTTAGATGTGCTTGTTTACCTTAAGTAGCTTATTAGCATTGCATGAAGCACCATTAAAAGTATCCTTTGGGGGCCTCCCTGGTGGCGCAGTGGTTAAGAATCCGCCTGCCAATGCAGGGAACACAGGTTCAAGCCCTGGTCCGGGAAGATCCCACATGCCGCGGAGCAACTAACTAAGCAAGTGCACCACAACTACTGAGCCTGCGCTCTAGAGCCCGCGAGCCACAACTACTGACCCTGTGTGCTGCAACTACTGAAGCTCGAGTGCCTAGAGCCCGCGCTCCACAATAAGAGAAGCCACCGCAATGAGAAGTCCGCACACTGCAATGAAGAGCAGCCCCCGCTCTCCGCAACTCGAGAAAGCTCGCGTGCAGCAACAAAGACCCAATGCAGCCAAAAAAAAAAAGAAAGAAAAGAAAAGAATCCACCTGCCAATGCAGGGGACACGGGTTCGAGCCCTGGTCTGGGAAGATCCCACATGCTGCAGAGCAACTAAGCCCATGTGCCACAACTACTGAGCCTGCACTCTAGAGCCCGTGAGCCACAACTACTGAGCCCATGTGCTACAACTACTGAAGCCCACGAGCCTAGAGCCTGTGCTCTGCAATAAAAGAAGCCACCGCAATGAGAAGCCCACACACTGCCACAAAGACCCAAAATAGCCAAAAATAAATGTTTTTTAAAAAGTATCCTTTGATTTCTTTGCTTCTTTTGAGCTGTAAGAAGCCATTCTTTGCTGTAAGTGAGGCACCCCCACCCACATCCCCAAGACGCTATTCTCATGTAGGCCCCACCTGCTGGCGCCTAAGAACCCAACGTCTCCTATCCTCCTCTTCCCTTAAGAGGCTCCCCTTTAGTGTTGTGCTCCTAGATTTCAAAACAAGTAAAGCCACGTCCTCATCAACAGGCTTATATTCTCTGTCTTATACCCCCTCTCTATTCTCCTGTGTCTTCTCCTCATCCCACTCCACCTCAAAACACACACAAAAGTCCTGAACACGAGTTTTTACTCAGTTAGTGTTAGTGAGGCTTCCCTTTTCATGGAAACAAGAAGTCCAGAGCTTGAAGTGAAATTAGATCCAACAATGGAAGGTATCAAAATCTACATAAAACTCTTCAGAGTACCCAAAATGTCCACTCAAATCCCCATCATTTCTTTTTTCTCTGATTAAATCTGAATTTTTTCAAGGAGAAACTGGTCTTAAATGTGTTCTCCTATTTAAATCTATATGTTATAGTTTTAATAGCCTTCTTTAGATTAAGTATGAAATCACAGCCCAATTACAAGAATATTCTTAAGAAAAAATACATTATGAGAAACAAAAAATTGACCTTTGTTTTCAATAACCAGATTTATAAACTTTTGCAACATCTTTCACTCAAAACCAATTACTGGCAGTTAGTTATTATATACCACTCATTTTATTCTCAAGACAACCCTACTAAGTATCCTCATTATTCTTTGGGGAGGATGGGAAAAACTGAGGCTCAGAGCGGTAAGGTCAGACACCCATTAAGTGGCAGAGAAGTCATCAAATTTAAGACTATCTAGTTCTGAGTCTATTTTCTTAATTTTTAGGACACATTGCCTTGTGCTCAACATACAAAACATTCATCCCAGGCGAAGATTTGAGTCCTAATCTCCTAAGAATTTAGAAAAAAAAAAAGAAGTGTTTTCATATTGATACAAGTCTTTCCACCCTAGTTATATCCCGAGTTTTATTCCCCAGCATGAAGCCTCTGATGTCGAGCAAGCGCTGAGCTGTGCCTGAAGGATTTCCCACAGTTAGCACATTCATAAGCTTTCTCTCCAGTGTGAATTCTGTAATGTTCACTAAGGTGTGCTTGCTTGCGGAAGGTTTTTTCACACTCACTACACTTAAAAAGTTTCTCTCCAGTGTGAGTTCTCTCATGTTCAACAAGGGAAGAGTTCTGAGTGAAGGCTTTACCACATTTGGTACATGTGTAGGGCTTCTCTCCTGAGTGGATTCTCTGATGCTGCCTGAGGCACGCACTCTGATTAAAGGCTTTCCCACAGTCATTACACTTATAAGGTCTATCTCCAGAATGACTTCTCTGATGACGAGTAAGGCATATTCTCTGACTGAAGGCTTTGCCACACTCACTGCATTTATAGGGCTTCTCTCCAGTATGAATTCTCAGGTGTTTAACAAGGGATGGACTCTGACAAAAGGCTTTGCCACATTCATTGCATTTATAGGGTTTCTCCCCAGTATGAATTCTCAGATGCTGGACAAGGACTGCTTTTGTTTGAAAGGTTTTCTCACATTCATTACATTTATAAGGTTTCTCTCCCGTATGAATCCTCAGATGTTGAGTAAGATTTGACCGTTTCCGGAAACAAGTTCCACATTCAGTACATACATAGGGTTTCTCTCCTGTGTGAATCTTCTGATGCTGGGTAAGAGATGATCTCTGAGTAAAAAACTTTCCACATTCACTACACTTGGAAGGTTTCTTCTGTCTTTTAAGTCTCTGATGTTTCACTTGCAGTGAAGTCTGGCTGGAACTCATGCTTTTTGTAACACGATGAAGGGGTGTCTAATAGGTTCCAGTTTAAAAGAAACTGTCTCTCAGATTCAGAATACTTACAAGGTACTTTCTCAAAGACGATTATCCTTAGAGTAACACTGTTCTCCTGTGAAAGGTCTGTGTGCATATGGTGTCCTCCCAGTCATTCCTGCAGGATTTCCCCTTCTAGTCCTTATTCAGCATGCATCTTCAACTTCTCCTAATGTGAACCCCTGATGACCAGGCTCTCTGACCCTCCATGTCTTTTCAAGTCATCTAACACTGTGCCATCAGGCTTGATTTTCTTGCCTGAAAAAAAAATTCACAAAGGAAAATGTCCTCCGTGCAGAAGAGAGGACCTGCATTGTGAAGTTCTGATTTTTATCCTCTTCTCAATAATAGAGAAAGAAGATCACAATGACCTGGGGAAAAGATTAGAATAGGTGATTGGGAGAAAGATATTAAGTAGTGACAGGTTTTGGTAAATCTATAAACTTCCCTATTGTGATTGATTCTGAAACACTCAAATACTAAAAACTGACCCAGGTAATTTAGGGTCATCCAGAGTGATAAATAGTAGGAAAATGTGAAAGGGATAAGTATATTAATCTCGGGTAAGTTAAGTGTTGGGGAAAATTACCACTCACCTACAGTGTCTAGTCCTCAAAAATGGGTGAAAAGTTATTATATTTCCTTAGGTTGCCTATAATCAGTACCTTGGCAGACCAGTGATAATTGAAGAGTTCCTCTTTCAAGATTTCAAAGGTGATACAGGCTGTAACTTTTGCTAGGTCCATCTCACCTATCCTTCCCTATTCACTCACCTTGATAGGTGTCTCTTTGGACCTCTCTTTCTCTCCAAAACATTCATCCCCTAGGTACAACTGGGAAGGATCGAGGTTTGAAAACTAGAGTTCTGCTTAATGAAAGAAAATAAGATATCACTGTTTTGTTTACATAAAAATAAGACAGAGGTGGTCCTTAGGGAAGAAGCCCCCATTGGACAGTAATTTCACTATAGCATCATGATCCAGGATCTGGCCCTCAACCTTGAAGCCAAAAAATGCTTCAAAATCTGATGTGTACTAATCAAATTCACAAGGAGAGTGATGTAGAAAACATAAAGTCACTTCACCAGTTTACAATGAAAATTTTATATGCTTAATGTCCAGCTGGTTAATATATTCTCTCCAGTATAGAAAAACTGTATGGGAACCAAACTGTTGTCATCAGGACACACCTTAGGAAGCACAAAACTGGAGAAAGAGTGGACTACTTAGACAATCTTAATGGCATGAAACTTTGAACCTGATGCTGTCAATAAAGGTGCACAGAATCAGAGAAAGGATATTCAGGAACCACACATCAGAGCAACCTCTTCTCTGGATGGTCTGGAGACACAAATACATTCTTATTCCCTGAGGCCTCCTTCTATTTTAGTTTTCTAATTATACAAGTTACACATGGATGTTTCCTCACCTTAGAATATTTAGATAATATGAAAGTATACAGGATAAGACAGTAATTTTTATAACCATCACCACCCCACTCTACCCAAATGAAACCACCCCCTTCCCAGAGATAATTTGGAGTATATTCTTTCAGTCTTTTTTCTCCATATTTTTAACACACATATAGCATTTGATTCTTTTTACATAAATAAAATCGTTGTATAGATGCTACTACACAATTTGATTTTTTTTCACCAAGGAATGTGTCTTTGAGATCATTTCATGTTGGTACATACAGATCTACTGGGGCTGAGAGTCAACTGGTACACACTGGAGTATCTGCACAAATGGTTTACAGTTGGAATCTCCAAAATATACAAACAGCTCATGCAGTTCTATGTCAAAAGAAACAAACAACCCAATCAAAAAACGGGCAGACATTTCTTCAAAGAAGGAATACAGATGGCCAAAAAGAACATGAAAAGATGCTCAACATCACTAATTATCAGAGAAATGCAAATCAAAACTACAATGAGAGGCTTCCCTGGTGGCGCAGTGGTTGAGAATCTGCCTGTCAATGCAGGAGGCACAGGTTCGAGCCCTGGTCTGGGAAGATCCCACATTCCACAGAGCAACTGGGCCCGTGAGCCACAACTACTGAGCCTGCGCGTCTGGAGCTTGTGCTCTGCAACAAGAGAGGTCACGACAGTGAGAGGCCCGCGCACCGTGATGAGGAGTGGCCCCCGCTTGCCGCTACTAGAGAAAGCCCTCGAACAGAAACGAAGACCCAACACAGACAAAAATAAATAAATTAAAAATTAAAAAAAACTACAATGAGATATAACGTCACACAGGTCAGAATGGTCATCATCAAAAAGTCTGCAAACAATAAATGCTGGAGAGGGTGTGGAGAAAAGGGTACCGTCTACACTGTTGGTGGGAATGTAAATTTGGAAAAACCACTATGGAGAACAGTATGGAGGTTCCTTAAAAAACTAAAACTAGAACTACTATATGATCCAGCAATCCCACTCCTGAGCACATACCCAGAGAAAACCATAATTTGAAAAGATACATGCACCCCAGTGTTCACTGTAGCACTATTTACAATAGCTAAGAAGCAACCTAAGTGTCCATCAACAGAGGAATGGATAAAGAAGATATGGTACATATATACAATGGAATATTACTCAGCCATAAAAGAGGACAAAATAATGTCATTTGCAGCAACATGAATGGACCTAGAGATGATCATACTAAGTGAAGTCAGACAGAGAAAGACAAATATCTTATAATATCACTCATATGTGGATATGATTTTTAAAAATGATACAAATGAACTTATTTAAAAAACAGAAACAGACTTACAGATATCGAAAACAAACTTATGGTTACTGAAGGGGTAACATGGGGAGGAGGGATAAATCAGGATGTTGGGGTTTACATACACACTACTATATATATATAAGATAGATAACCAACAAGGACCAACTGTATAGCACAGGGAACTCTACTCACTATTCTGTGATAACCTGTATGAGAAAAGAATCTGAAAAAGAATGAATACATGTATATGTATAATTGAATCACTTTGCTGTACACCTGAAACTAACACAACATTGTAACTCAACTATAATCCAATAAAAAATTTTTTAAATGGTTTACAGTCAAGAGACTGATTTGATTGGGCAGTCTTGTACCACACTGGTTGTTAATATATTGACTATTTTGTGTAAATCTATCTTTATCTGCTGTATAAACTTCCAGTATGGACATATGGACAGTTGGTATTTTGATGAATTTTCTTCTAGGATCTCTCAATGCACATATGGGCACATATGTGTACATATATTATGTGTACATATTAGACTAGACTGAATTCTGCAGCACACAGTCTATTATATCTATTCAAAGAGTTCCCATTACCTAAAAATCCAGTTCACCCAGTACTATTCTTACTTAGTTTAACAGATACCCAGGCTCCACACTGCCTTCTGATGGCCAATAACAATAGCAGTTGGGATTACTTAAGCTCTTGTTCCAAACGAGGCCAGAAGCCCATTGCATACCCTCTGAGGAAACACTTAATCACCTTTGCAATGGGTCTTCCAATAATTTACCATCAGTTTCTGACCGCTACACCATTAGAGCATCATACTTAGCAGTTCAGCAAGTGGTTTCAGGGTGTTCCACCAGATGACTGCAGTTTAAGTTCATGTGATAAGAAATTACTGAGACTTCCCTGGTGTGCAGTGGTTACGAATCCGCCTGCCAATGCAGGGCACACGGAGTCGAGCCCTGGTCCAGGAAGATCCCACATGCCGCGGAGCAACTAAGCCCGTGTGCCACAACTACTGAGCCTGCACTCTAGAGCCTGCGAGCCACAACTACTGAGCCCACGAACCACAACTACTGAAGCCCGCGTGCCTAGAGCCGGTGCTCTGCAACAAGAGAAGTCACTGCAACTAGAAGCCCGCGCGCAGCAACAAAGACCCAACGCAGCCATAAATAAATAAATAAATTTATATTAAAAAAAGTACTGCACACTGATCTATCCTATAACCAATTACTCCATAGCCTGCTTTCACAATAAGCCACTCTAAATCTGATTTGAGTAAGATGGTCCCATTTCTGGGTGGTTCTGTGTTTCAGTCTGCAGGGTTTAGGTGTAGTGGTCACTGCTGGGTCCCACCTTAGGTCTGCCTACTGAGCAGCCCCATCTTGGGCTCTCTAGGTAGATTTCACTTACCCAGAGACAAGCTGTTAGGAATACAAGTGACTACAGTTTGTCTCCTGGGGACTCTTCTCATGAGGAAGAGCAGAAATTTGAGGCACAGAGGGAGGAGAGAGAGCACCCATAAATTGTCAGCCTACTTCCTTCATACTCTGGATTCAAGGGAATCCAGGAATAGCCCATCCCTAACCAAATGACTATTTTAAATCTGAATGAATGTCCTTGTTCTCGTAGGCATGTATCACCAATGACAAAAAGTCAGTGAGATGTGACAATGCACAAAGAAAGAAGGCAGGTGCTCTTAAGGACCAAGCATCCTAGGGTAAATATTCCTCCACCAGAGATAAGACTGGAGCCCAAAGGCACCTCCCTGCCCCCAACCTAATGGAGAAGTCACTGACTTCAGAAATCAAAGACTATGGGGCTACAGTAGAAGGCAGTGAGATAAGCAGTGGACTCAGTCAAGAGGTCTGGGTTCTAGTCTCTGCTCTGCCCCTAACTTGCTTAAGGACCTGAAACAAGTCACTCAGTTTCAACTGTGACTTTTTAAATCTGTGAAATGAAAAACTAGATGATATCTAAAGCTTCCTCTAGTACCAACATTTTGTGATTCTTTGACTCTAAAAACAGATGGAAAAGAGCAAGAAACTCAAATCAAGCCCTTCCAGTCCCTCTTTGATTGAAGCTGGTTATTCATTTCTGTGAAAAGTACTGAGCAGCTACTATGTGTCCAGCAGTGAGATGCCCTCTTGTTAAGAACAGGCTGAGTCAATAGCAGGGCAACACCCCAGCACTTAGTCTCCCACAATCAGAGGCCTATTAATTT